TTGAGGGTTTAGGGCTTCAGGGTTCAGGGGTTCCTGGAGGGGTTCTCCGAATCCGAAAATGTTCAGGATGAGCTTCCGCCCCTGGAGAAGCAGGACCAGATGAGGGATTTAGGGTCTAGGGTTCAGGGATTTTGGGGTTAGGGTTTTTGGGGGTTTTGGGGTGAGAGTATAATAGAGATTCAGGAGTCTATGGTTCGGGTTTAGGCCTACAGGTTTATTTTGACATACTTGTTTTCAGTAGGGCTTTGTCTGATAGATGCTATTTTAGGATGAGGAAATAGTAACCTACACAGCAAAAGTAGGTTATGGTAGTTGAAGGGTGTAGCATCTACTCTTCTTCAGGTTTTCTGGATGTTTAACTTGGATACACTCTCCATCACTCTCCTTGTTCGCCTTTATGCAAGTACATACTCCTATTGCTACAGCTCTGATCTACAAATGCGGTTGCTATTGCTAGTGTGGTTTGCTGCTTGGGTTGTTCCCAGTGCTTTCGATCATAGTCGTTTCTCGGCTTGTCTGTTCGTCTCTAGCATCAAGCGTGTTGGTATCGGCTTGGAATCCCTATAAATTGCTCCAAAATTGTAAACTGATTCAACACCCAGAACCCGAAACTCCAAGCCCTCAGCCCCTTACCCTAAAATCCAAACCCCGGCTTCGGGTTTGGGTTCAAGTCCTAGCGTCTCTTATTGTTCTGTAAGGGCTTCTGGGCATCTTCTAATACTAGATTTGTTTGGGATTTCGGGTCTACGCAAATGATGAGGTCTACATGCTTGAGTGGGTGGGGTCTAGTGTCTCGGCACTTGTCAGTGGCTTAGGGTTTAGGGCTGTGAAGTGTCAGGAATCCTGCATCCCGAATGGAATCGCTCCACCTGAAACCCATCATGACGAGCCCATAAACACCAAACACCTAAACTCCAAACCCCCTGAAGCCGAAACCCGAAGCCTTTCGTTAAACTGTCAGAAGACCTTGCGCAGCCCTAAACCCTAAGCCGTCTCGACCGCTTTTGATCTCCTCCGTATCAACTGCAGGAGCTCGTCGATCGTCTCCTCCGTGCAGCGAAGAGGGGCTTACTCGTCGAAGACGAGGAGGAGCTCCGATAACACTATACTATAAGGGCCTCAGTATGAAGTTTTTTTGGGGGTTCTATAATTAGAATAGTTCTTGCATGGGGGTATATTGTACCATATTCATAGCGGCTCTATAGGGACTCTAGGGTCGTTGGATATTCAATAGGGCTCTAGAGGGGTGATGTGTGGCAGTTCAATCGGGCTTGAGAGGTCTTCGTCGTGTGCTGGGGGATATTGCTTAGCTGTTAGTCCTCTAACTATATTAGGGTTTAAGGTTTTGGGTTAGGGCTTAGGGTTATATTATAATGTCCAACCTCTAAGCTGGATTCGTGAATGAAGTTACGAGGCAACCATTACAAACGATCGTACCCCCCGAACCTGTTTCCCGATAACAAGCACCCTGAACCCGCTCAGGCTGTCGATGTTGAGCTCCAAAGCATGCTATTCAGCAGCTAAGCAAGCTCCTACTTATTTGATCTCTGGAGGCACCTGCGACCCTGAACTGCAAGCCTTTGGCCGGTTTGCTGAAGCCCCTAACCCGAAACGTAAATCTTGTGTCCTTGTCAAACGCATCCTAACCTGAATAGGTCAACCAAGAACGGGAAATACATCAGGCAAGCCCTAACTCCTGAACCCAAGCGTCAATACAGAAGCGTAACCTTGAGCCCAAAACCCTAAACTCTGCACGGAGTCTACCCACAGGCCCCATAGTAGTTCCTTTTTGGGATTACCTTATAGGATTCTAAACATGAACCCCAAAAAGGAACTACTATGGGGCCTATGGGTAAACCCTAAGCCATACAGTAACCCAGAGACCAAGGCCATCCACTTACGCCCCCCGAGGCCCCCGCACGCCAGACCTCAAAACCTAAGCCTTGGACCCTACTGGGTTAAGGCTTTAGGTTTAGGGTTTAGGGTTTAGGGTTTAGGGTTTAGGGGGACCCTACTGGGTTAAGGCTTTATCATGGAGGAAAGAGAAGAGTCTTAATGGTTTGGGTGCAGAGAAAAGGGCTGAGAAACGAGAATACAAAGAAGACCCGAGCCAGAAGTTGATTGCCAGAACCCTCGAAATCCCCGTTAGGCTTTACAGGGCAGTTTAGGTTTCGGGTACAGAATGACAAACCCTACGGCTCCATGTAGCTATATGGTATATACATAGGCCAAGGCCTAAGTAGATACTATATGGGTACATGGAACCTCTAAAAATGCCGCTAAGCCTATAAAACCTAGACCCTAAACTCCAAGCCCCATAGGGTTTAGGGTACAGAATGACACAAGAAGCGAAGGAGTCAAAAGACCCCTTGATTCGCTTCTCTCGACGGCTCATGCATCACCTGGCCGAGGCCGAGTCAAGCAAAGAGCTGATAGGGTTTGGGTTCAGGGTTTAGGGTTTAGGGTTCAGGGTTCAGGGTTGAGGGTTTTGGGTTATTGGGTTCCTTGACCCTTTTATAGAACCCTATAGTACCCTTTAAGGACCCCCTTAAAAGGAATTGTAAGAGTTCCTTCCTTAAGGGTACTTGAAGGGATGCTTTATTGTCGGGAGTCCTTGAGGCTAAGATGAAGTGTAAGGTCTTGGGGGCTTCAATGGTTTAGATTTAAGATTTCAGGCTTTACGGTTTAGGCCGGGTTAAAGGTTCAGCGTTTACCCACAGGCCCCATAGTAGTTCCTTTTTGGGATTACCTGATAGGGTTCTAAATAAGAACCCCAAAAAGGAACTACTATGGGGCCTATGAGTAGGGTTAAGGATGAAGAGCTTTAGCGTTTCGTGTCTGGGGGCTCGGGGGGGGTTCGGTGGTATGGTGAACGGCCCTGCGGGGGAAGGGCTTAGTGAGCTCTTGAAAAAGATTTTCATCGCATAACCTTCACTTGCCATAACAAGGGTATACACTAAGGAATGTGTTGTCCTTGCTCTGGTAGCTTGAAATCTGACCCTCAAGAAGAAGCCGGTTTCGGTTTGAGAGCTTTATAGTGTTCAGGTTGGGGTGTCTAGGCTCATTTGTTGGGGCTCGGGCTTGGCAGGGTGAACATAAGAGCCTGCACGAGTAGGGTTTCGAGGTGTATAGATACAGTACTGAAGTATTGTAGTTGCACAGAGACTATTCGGGGTTATGAATACTGACATGTACTGACTATTCGAGTGCTGGATTTCGTTGAGGGCTTTCGGATTCATGGGTCACTTGGGCCGTGCTCGCTGTTCATCTCAATGTTTACCGGTCCGCAAAAATGTTTTTGGAAGCCCATTCCAGGTGAGACCGACAGACCCTGTCCTTCTACGAAAATGTGTCGGGATTAACCTGTTGGGTAGTTTTCTAAATTAGGGTTCCTTTTTTAGGTCCCCAATATACTACGGCACCCTTATAAAAAGGACCCCCCAAAAAGGACCCTAATTTAGAGAACTACCCATATATAGATAGAACCCTCATGGTCCCCTTATGGAAACCCTCATAGATCCTTTAAGGAACCCCCAAAAGGGGGCCCTAATTTAGAGAACTACCCTTTTACTGCTTTTCTTGCGCGTTTGGTTGCAGTATTTCTTGCAGGAGCCGAGCAGAAAGCAAGCTGCCGGGTACATATGGGGGCCTAAATAAATACCTACATTATTTTGGGAGGTTCCTTATTATAA